GGATATCTCCAATTAGTCAAGGCGTCAAACGAACCTCTGATAAACCCCCCTGCGATGGAACAAACTATCTCCAGAAAGGCAGCAGCATCGGCGGGATGATAATGTTCTAGAAAGGTGGCTGCGACGCTCAAGGCTTCGAAAACCAGCGAAGGTGCCTCCTGCTGACTCCTGAAGTTGGCGCACATGCATGAGCATGCACATTTGGACGTAGTACTGGCGACAACCATGCCTCACTTTCCACGATTGCTAGTGCAGGGCACCGAATGGTGGTGTGACGCGACAACCAGAGCATACGACAGTGGTTCTCTGGGCACTGGAAGCCACTTGAAATCCCTTTGCTAGAGCATGTTTCCGTAGCATAGTGTGATGATGGTAACCGTTGCAAGTGACTGAAAACAGCAATGTGCGTGATGGTGTTGAAGTGGTTCCAGATGACGAGAGCGGCGTGTTCTGGTGTGGCTGTCGGCTTTCAGTGCGAGGGTAGCATGCATCTCTCGCATGCAAACAGCCACATTCTTACAAGCACCAGGTTTCAAGTGAAATCTTGGAAACCAGACACCACTTGTAATAGAAAGAATTGGCAGTTCCGCCAATGTTCTTCAGAATAAAGGGAGGGCGTACTGTGATTCTACCTTTTTTACTCTACATTCTGGTCTTTCATGGTAGAGAGGGTCCATGGAACCTCGGGCCTTTCGGCCGATATCAGGGTTGTGATTGAGGTGTTTCTGGTCTTCGGCCTCTGTCCGGAAGTTGCAATATAGTACCATCATATCGCAACTACCAGACCGCTTGGAAGAATTTTCTTAGATCGAGTAGAGTAAACAGGCTGGCGCAACTGTTCAACTGTGTCCATGAATGATGTAAGTGAACGGGCGCAACTTGGGTGGGTTGAGTGGGGGGACCACCAAGGGTTAATCAGTGCGCCCCAAGATAGTTGAAGTTAGAGACAGCCTAATGTGTGTGACAAGGTCAGAGAAGCCTGGTGGAAGAATGCATAGAAGTTCTCACAAAGCCATCCTGCTTATGAGGCGCCGCCACGGCCACTAGGCAATTGCAATTTAGCCCGAGTTGTCGTGACTAATTCTTTCACAGGACGTGGAGGATCAACCACTAGCACGTATCGCAGAGCTGCCGCCGCGATATTGCCGCCATCACATTTTCTTTTTGAAGATAAATATGGCGTGAGTTGAGCTTATGGGCAGACAAATCGAGCAATCGATACCGAATTTAGTTATCATTCAGCTATGTCATTCTGGCAATCGATCAACAAGACCCTGATTGCCGTGTGGGATGGTGATAATCAGCCCTGCGCTGTTAGGCTAATACAACAGATGACAATTCGTGTCGTGCGCGGTTGTCTTGCCTATGATCCTGCGGGGTGAGAGGTTCGTTGGTTCCACTGCCTCTGGCAAGGTTGGCATTGGGCCGCTGGTACAATTGCAGATATGCAAGAAGGCAAAGTGAATGGGCGGCAGCCGGCAGATGCGGAGCATTGGACTCGACAGACAGAGAGCGGATACTGTTATTGCGGTTCGACGTCGCCAACGCAGCAAGAGAACGTGGGTTCTGAATCTGGACTTGAGTCTGGTTCTGATTCCGCTGAGCACATACCGGCGCTGTTACCAGATATGAACGTTAGCACATGTGTTGAGTCCTTGTAATGTACCCCTGAGCTTAATTGAATTACCAACGTCGTCACAAAACGGTTCGCATAAATTTAGATTTATGGTTGCAATCAGTTGCAAATGAGCCACAACCGAGGTGCTTGTTCTCGAGATTGACGTGACGTGACGGAGCTGTACTTCCTTTGCACACTCCACCGATCAGTAGCAGTAACAGTAGCTTAGCTTAACGAACAATAAGCAATCAAGCAAAGAGGCATGACATGGATGATCGTGAGCTTGGCGACCCCAGGCTGTCTGGCCCTTTTGCTTCTGAGAGGCGGGGAGATTTGCTCTGCTGTTGATAAATGGATGTATGGGGAGTGGATGAGGTCGTCTTGGGTGGATATGAAGAAGGTAGAGAGGAGGAAGGAGCGATTCTGATTGGGCAATCAGGTTACAAAAGGACCTGACTGACCCTGGGAGTGGATCGCTTTAGCGCCTGTAGACAACTGCAGCGGATGATTTTAAGGTGCACCCGGCGGCGGTTTTGTTACCCTTGCCCTTGACATCCATGGAGAGCCAGGATGTCCACATGCAGCTCTCCTTGTCTGGTCCTGGCCCTGGCCCTGGTCCAGCCGGTAATATGGCTTGGCTCTTTTGTTCTCAAGATAGCTCGCACGCAATAAAGATCTTTTGTTTCCATTACGGATATGATAACGGATATCTTATCTCACCGTCGTCAGGAACCACGCGCGAACCTGCAGATGTCGAAACTCTGTGATCGACGGCTGCCAAGCGCCACACGGCCACAGTACCGTATTCGTTGTGTGCGACAGTGATAGTGATGGTTCAGCTCGCAGAGCATGGTTTGGATGAACTGTCAGTCAACTCATCGCAGCCTCGTCGGCGTTTCCGAGGCGTTTCTAAGAAGCATCCATATGGAAACTCTTTAGCCTCTAGTCTACCGTCTTCAATGACATTTTGGAAAGACGGTCAGATGAATACCCGGATGCAGAGAATTAAAAGCGAAAGCCTCTTTCCCCCTGAATTTTGAATCTTCCCAATTTCCATCCATAGCGTCAAACTATTCGCGCGCCAGACTATGTACGGTGTCGGTAGCAGTATGAAAGGTCCCTCTTGATCTTAGCCTCAAACCACAGACACTTGGCCAGCATGCTGTGTTATACTCCCAGATTATCTAGAGGGAACGCATAGGCCCAAGCTGGAGCAAAGCTTCCTTCAGAGTTGAAAGCTTTGAACCAAGCCTCAGGTGGCTCGGTTGGATACCGTTGTCGTACCGGTTTCCGAGATGAAGTAAACAGTCATTGCGAAGGTGGCGCCACAAGAATGCGGAATTTCAACGAGCCTGTTAGGATTGAAATTACAGTACATGAACCTTTACATAAATTAGTGAGTTTTGGCTTGTTAGATACGTTTACCATATTTTTAGACTATATTCCGTGGTTCTATACGACCTTTATCGGCATTTCGCTTGGATCAATCGGACGTAGCCTTGACCACAGACAAAAAGCAAAACTTGCACGCACGCACGCACAATCTTCCTCCACAGCCAGTAAACTTCCTTGCAAATCTTGGATATTCACGCAATCCTGAGTTTATACCCGGCGGATTTTAGGCTTTGAGGCTCTATTCCATTTGTGAAATCGTCCCCGACTTGGCGCTCACTGCACTCCTACCCAAACTGGGCCTAGATTTTCAACCTTGTCCTTAGCCTGGCCTTGCCTTGCCTCTGTCCGTGACTACAGAATAAGGTAAGCTCATACATATCTGTTGATGAACCCGTGTTCCGAGACGATTCATCTGCACGGGTAAGATCCAAAACAAGAGTTCGGGGCACGGGCGGAAGAGAGCGAGCGAGGCAAGGCTCTAGCAGGGAGTCGGATGTGTCTTGACGAAGGAACCGAACTGGCCAAATCACGAACCCCCAGACAATAGTGGGAACGGTCAGGGCAGTTTTAGGGACTAGGGGTGCTTTGCAGTGCTATACCGACGGCCACTAAACCGTAGATGGTGATGAAGCCGGGGGGGCTTAAGACTCCGTAGCCCGCCGAAAGATGGACATGGGCGGAGGTTCCACACAGCGACTTCAGGCGGGTGCTTACCCCAAAGACCAAGGCCAAAGACAGGACGAGAAAGGGCTTACAGGACCGGTGACAGAACCATTTTCCTGGGGCAAAAGTCGAGGTTGAGATAGGAAGATACTTACGACTGCTCACATTTTGATATGCGAGACCAGGTACCCAAGCTATCTATATCTTACGTAGTAGCCAAGGAAGGTAACTTGTTTGGCAGCGCCTGCCGTTGATTTCATACAGTAGGGCAGGAAGGTAGGCACGCCCACGCAATCTTCGATCCCGCCCCTCCTTCTGAGATAGATAGATGAGTGAACGGGTGAGTGAAGTCTCCCCATATTTTCGTCCTTCTCCAACGTGCCCACGCTTTTCATCATCACCACCACCCGTTCAGCATGCATCTACCGTACGTACCAGCCAAGGCGATATTGAGTTTGGTCCGTCGAAATTGAAACCATCTTTTTTTTTTTCGTCCTGTATGTATTAATGGATGTCAGGGGAACCCCTACTTCGGTCTACAATCTCTTGTCGGTCTATCATTCGAACCTCGGCCGAAATAGCATTCATGGATCCCACCCCGCTGATCTTCAGTGTTGGTACGGTACAGAGTACGATTCGGTCTGTTAAAAAAGACGCTTGCTAGGCTGCTTGCTGGGAGGGACTTGGGATTGGGATGATGATGCCAGCGCCAATGTCAACGGTGCCCCCATCGTCCCCATCCCCATCCTGATCCCCCCTCCCCCGTCCCTCTCTCCACTCCCGTCTCTCACCAGATGTCTCTCCCGCTTTACTCGATCTTGAATGTGCTATCTACTCTGCTGCTACTGTAGGTACATCCATGCTGCCCACGCTACTCCCTGTAATCACACACCCACCCATAAACGTACACCCTTTGAATGTCGCGCTCCCCATCATGATCCCTGCTGAGGCTTCAGGGTCTTGTTGCTGTTCTCAAGGACTGGGCGATACCCTCCCAGGCTCTGGACACCCCTCGCCTCTTATGTCTGGCCTTCGTCTTGCCTTATACAATCCCAGAGCGCCACTTTCATATCTAGACATCGTCCCTGATCATTCTTGTATACTTTAACATCGTGTTCCCACCGGTTCTAAAGATTTCCCATCGACTTTACTCTTCTGAGTTGCTCATATTCATACCTTTTACTATACTCCAACTCCACCATCAACCTCATTCCACCTTTCGTCTCTATATGTTGACGTAGCCCAACCATATTCTATAACTAAACTTCTACAACCCTCCCAACGCCCGCCTCGCATACACTTCACCCCTTCAACTTATACGAAAATGACAGCAGCCATGGCACAGCCGACTGTTACAGTCAAGGATCCCTCTGCAGTGCGAAAGCGCAGAAGACGTGCTCCTGCTGGTGGCGCTTCTGATGACTGTTTCTCTTGCTCCAAGAAGAACATCAAGTGTGACCGTAGACGGCCATATTGCTCCCAATGTCTCGAAGTTGGCAGTGAATGTTCCGGTTATAAGACACAGCTTACTTGGGGAGTTGGTGTGGCTAGTCGAGGCAAGCTTCGAGGTCTCTCTTTGCCCATTGCAAAGGCTCCTCCTGTTACTCGTGAGCCCAGAAAACATTCAACTGCTTCTTCAAGATCCAGCTCTTCCATGGTTCACCACGGAACTGAGGATGAGCACAGAAGAATGCGCCAGGGTCCCATTGACATTCCTGCCGTGACACAAGTTGCTTCTGCTCCCACAACGCCTTTCGCTATGGGTGGCTACGACTACCTCTCCATCTCCCACCCTGAGCACGCAGCTCCTGTCCACCAAGGAAACTGGGGTGCCATCAACTACTCCCCAGCACAAGAGACAAATCACAACATGCATCGGTTTCCCGTGCCTCTTGTCACAGAAAACCTCTCGTCCTCTATCGACCCCCTCACCCCAGACGTAGGCTATGTATCGCCCATGAGCCAATCTTACACCAGAGACGATGTTTCCTACGTTCACAGCCCATCTTACATGTACGATAGCTATACCACGGGCACCAGTTCCCCGGGTCCTCAAAGCCCTCCTTCCTCTCTTTACGTCGAGCACGCAAGGACCTTTGCTCCCACCTCGTGTCCGAGTCTTGCCCACGCCCCATCCGAGATGAGCTCAAGCCTTCACTCTCATACCGACACCTTTGATTCGCATCTTGGTAACAGGATTGTTCGCGACTGTGATTCATTCGGTAAGCTCAGATGGAACCAATGAATCCCTTGGTTCTAACGTGCGCAGGCGTGCCTGAAGTCGATACATATAGCACCAGCTACGGTTCTATGCCCATCTCCTGGCATTCACCACCTTCGATGCAAGAAGAAGACGTCAAATCTCATCACTCGGACTTTGCTCCCTCGGGCTGGCCCACCGCTTCCGAAAACCAATCTGTTCATGTGAGCCAGGACCTCATCTCCAAGATGCCCTTTTTCATGGATTACTACGAGAACATCATGTGCCCCTCAATGGTCTTTATCGACGGGCCACACAACCCCTTTCGAGACCATATTCTGCGACTAGCTGCAAACAGCCAGAGTCTGAGCCATGCTATTTGTGCTCTTGCATCCTGCAATCTCCGCATGAAGAGGAAACTGAGTCTCGGACGTGATACACGAGAACTTTCTGAGAAGTTGATGGCTGACAAACATGCCGCCGAAGCCATGGCAGACACTCAGCCCGACGACTTGTCCCTCGCCGAGGAATATCAACACCGCAACCTGGCTGTGCACTTATTAAACGAGCAGCTCAACGACCGGACCAAAGCTATCCACGATTCAGTACTCGCCACGATCCTCCTACTGTGCCATTATCGCATGGTCGAGTCCGGTATCGCCAAGTTTCACACCCAGTTTGCTGGCGTCAACAAGATCCTGACTCTTCGAGCTCAATATCTGGCGGCATCGAGCAACTCCGCTTGGATGGAAGCAATTTTCACTTACTTTGACGCCATTTCCGCGAGCATCAACGAGCGCGAGGCTCATGTCTATCCAGGATTCAACGGAATGCCTGACAATCAACTTCTACCTGTTGGAGCCGAAAACTTGGTGGGATGCGACCGCGAGCTTTTCAAGACCATCAGTAAGCTTGGTCGTCTCAACCAATTGTCACAGAACCGCCCCGTACAAAACACATCTGCCTCGACTCGATCTCAGGAGCTGCCTCAGCGATCTCCTTCTTTGTCCTACATCTCTCCATTGGGCCATGCTCGCCGGGAGTCACTTACACGGTTTAGCGTGACGGATGAACAAATGGGAGACATGAGCAGTCACAGCATTAGCGGCAACCGATTCAGTGCGACACTCAACAACGATATGGCTACACCCAAGAGCGCTCCTGCCCCATCGTATGAAGAGAACCGGTCACAGTTCTGGCATGAGTGGAAGGAAGCACGCCTCGCTCTTCAAAACTGGAACTTTGATGCGTCTCGCGTCAGTGCTTCGCTACCTGAACCTTGCTCACAAAGCCAACTACGAGATCTGGAATCACTGTCTGAGGCGTTCAGGTATGCCGCGCTCCTGTATACGGAGCGGCTCGTGAGCCCCTCGCTACCTTCAGGACACCAAAGCATTCAGAGCCTTGTCAGTCAAGTTGTCTATTACGCAACAAACCTGGACACTGGCAGTAGCGCCGAGAAGTTCCTGCTCTGGCCCCTTTTCGTGGCGGGCTGTGAGTGTGTCAACGAATTACAGCAGAATATGGTGCGGTCCAAGTGTCGAGATATCATGTTTCGTTCTGGTTACATGAACAATCTAGCGGCTCTCGAGGTACTGGAGAAGCTATGGGCTCAAGATTGGTCGGGAGATGAGCCGTTGGTGTTGGGGGCCAGGACCGGGGATCAACGCGGACCGTTCAACTGGACGAAGTGCATCGGGGGACCCGGAGTGGAGGTGGAGTGGATCATGTTTTGATGTGCAGGGATGTTCGGCGATTGACATGTGAAGGTGTTTGACCTCGTGCAGAGGTGATGGGAAACAGGGATCTGGCATACATACAAGGGGCTGTCATTTGCATTGCAGGCTTGGGCGTGGGTAGGGGTAGATGGTGGGTTAGTCTTCAGGTGTGTCAAATTCGGAGCTACTAAGGGATTGAGTTTGGAGTTCAATTTAGGGTGTAAAGGCCAGCATTATATGTATTATGTAACGAAGCGCAACGCAACAAACAGCATACGGAACGGTTACGTTAGAAAGGGAGCATGGCGTCTCGGCTTAGCATGTTAGGGCCAGCACTGGAGTCTATTACATCCATGCTAAAACAAAAGATGGTCGAAAAAGACCGAAATGAACATATACACCCAAAGACTTTTCTTCAAGTGATCGAGAATAGACCAAGCATAGCACTATGGTTTGAAAATGAGACTTGTTTGCGGTAAGGCTAGGATACAAACAAGTGAACAAAACACCTTCCTGATCTGATATACTGAATGAGCTGCAGTGTAACCCATGTGAAAGTAAAAGCCATAGACGAGTCAATTGTGGCTGCTGCAAGACGTTACAGGGCTGGACTAAGACTACGGTAAAAGTTCTAGCTCTCAGCCTCTTGAAGTCATCTTCCTTAGTAAGTTAGTAGGATGAAGATTCTACTCCTAAACAAGGACAGGCCAGCTTTGACACCTCGGTCTCAGTCTCAGCGGCGCCACTACGGGAGCACTCCGTTGTAGGTCAGGTCAAGTAAAGTAAGCATTGGTACCTGGCGGAGCCGGCCGAGTAAGAAAACTCGCTGATGATGATAGTGAAGCGCGGTTAAGTCATTGATTGGCCGAATGGGGTTTCTGAGACACACACAACCTAGAGACAAGACGTTCAGACAAGTGTGGCTCGCCTCTTAGTCTGGATACTATCGGGCCAGCAAAGAATCTGATAAGTGTGGGGATATGATCGACAAGAAGGATACTCTTTAGCGTAGAGCTGAGATGGAGCACAAACCATGTAAGTCGCGGTAGTAGTTTTTAGGCATGTCAACTACAACATCAAATTTGTTAGTGTACGTATCTTTTATTATACCGCCTTGCATTGCATTGTCACTACGAGACATGCATCGGACGTATGGAGATGGCATATGTACAATATTGAACCTGCAGATGGGGACAAGACAAGACGTATACGCAAATGGTTGGTTCATGCTTATTCTTACTTCCAGGCAGCGAAACTGTAAAGAAGAAAAAAAAGTCTCATCTGACAGCGAAACAAAGAGCACGAACAAGGCCCCAGTTGACCAGGCACTCTCTTACCCTGGCGTCTTCATAAGACAAGAGAAAGTGACAAACCCTCTGTTACTGTACTTCTCTCCACATTGTATCTGACCAATCTCTCGGAACTAAAGGGGGGTAAACGCCACGGCATGTAACAATCCCAAGCCCAAATCCTGCTCAAAGCCTTGCAGGGCAGGGATACAAAAATTCCCGGCTTCGGTGAGAAGGACGATGCACGGAGATCATCCTTCAGTCTTAGCTAATGCTAGTTTCAGGACGAGGGCTGTGGTGTTTGTATAGTAGGCCGAGGCTGGTGGATGTGGATATGGGGAAGATGGGTAGGGGATAGGGGCGAGGGTGTGTACTATGTTAGGGCCTCAGGCTGTAGATGTCGTCGAGTTTGAGATTGCGATGCTATTCCTGACGAGGTAGGTCGTAGACGATATGTAGCTTGTCGATGATGACCGTAGCTTGTTACGAGGGTCGTTAGTTTGCGAATAAATCAAAAACTATTACTATCACGAAGGGGTGTAAAGCAAACAACATGGACATGACTTGTCATGGAATGGAGTAATTGCGCCCGCAATCACATGTATATCATTGGGAGTAGAGATGAATTCAATTCTATGCTCAGTATTCGAGACGATGTCCAGGATGATCTCATGTAGTGGCGATGTTTCGCAAGTGTCCCGATTTCTGTGACGACAAGTCCGTTACGACAAGTCCATGGCTGTGTCGTCTGTTCCCTCAGACCAGATCTCTAGGTTGTTGACCGCCTCTTTGGTAATAGAGTCAACCTTTGGTGATGGTGGGGATGGATCTGGCGTGGGCAGTTGTGCTGTTGGTGCTTGTTCCTCCTTGCCATCCTTGAACTCCACGTCTCCTTCATCGTCGCAAACGAGGGTGCTGGAGCTTGCACGAGAGAAGCGTCGCCCAGCTTCATTTTCGTCCCAAGGGTACAAGGGAACTGGTGGTAATTCACGGCGAGGGGGTCGCGGTAATTGCCTTCGTTGCAGCCAATACTCTTCGAGTTGGTCTACCAAAGTCAGTCACTCATTCCCTTATACTATCTCTGTTTGATCTTACCGCTGATGGACCAATACACTTCATTATGTTGATCTTCGAAGAGCTGCTTAGAGTCCCTCAATCCATCTTTGACGACCATCAAGTCCCACGGTCGCAAGTCCCTCAACTGCTTGATCCTCGCCGCAGCGACCTGCGGGACCCAATTCCTCATGACCAGAACCCCATAGAGCATAAGACCGTACTCGTACGTCCATTCGACAACCCATTGGAGCTCCTCCACAGCATTTACTCGCTTGGCCTCGTACAGATCGAAGTCTATGTCTTCCATCTTGGAAATAGTATGGATCCATTCCCCCTGTCCCTGCTCCTGGAGACGCTCCTTTCTGAGGGCCCATTTGTTACATCGTTCATCGAGTTCGATGTTGCTTATCCTCTCGCGGCAGTCTTCACATAGCCATAGAAACTTGGAGATGACGAGCGTTTGTTGTTTCTCGGGGGAGCATAATTCGTTGCAGCCGTATGTGCAGCCCAGCTTCAGCAGGTGGGCGTGCTGGCACCGCTGGAACTGGATGATGCCCAGACAGCAAGGCATGCTGATGTCGATACTGATTTACCTCTATCGAGTTGTGTGTATGTGTTTGTGTGTAGAACGAGGGTTGCGAAGAAGAATAACCGATGATAAAGGTAACAAACTGAAAGTGAAATGCAGCAAGGTTTCAAGGCGCTGCAGAATGTAACGCATTTCACACTACAACTTCCTCAACGTCGATGGTGGCCGACAGTTGTATCGAATACCGTATACGTTTTGGAGAAATAGCCATAGAGAACAGCTCACAGCGAGGGCTTCCTGCCGCTTCGTTGCCGGCCGAAGCCATCTATACCACATCCTTCTTCCACCTACCTGCTATATGCAATTACTGGCTATAGGAAGGCTGCATATTGCTCGCCTCAACGATAACAAGCCTCATATAATCTTCAGTGAACAGTCGTTGAACTCTCATAGCGCATTTCGCCGTGATAGGGGCGAGTGAACGAATGAGGTCCTCACGTTGACGAGGTTGCTCGGTGAGAAAACGGAAGAAGCCATGAGGCTTTCATTCTGCTGTCATATTAACTCTGATTTGGTCAACTACAGTCAACGGCTGCAGTCATAAATTCCCATTTCCATTCTCGTGATACAACAGGGTGGATATGATACGTGGTATATCCATGAAAAAGGTCCTGTTATCTCTCCAAATCCAGACATTCTAAAACACAAGTAAAATCGGCACCTCAACACCTTGCCCTGGCCCATAAAATGATGGTGTAATTGCCGATCATGCATACAATAGAGTTTCAAAACTCTCGTCTTCGCTTTCTATCTTGTTTTCATCATTCAAACATAAACCAAACGAATATTCCCTCATCCGGCATGAGTGGCGAGAGTGAGCTCGGGGAAATATTGCGAGAGCTTCTTTGGGTTGCGCACATCTGCCCGAGCTGGCTCATCTGTATCGGAAATTTGATCGAGGTCATTTGATCCCTGGCTCTGATTGGTATCCAGCAGCTGAACAGACCTTCTCTTAACCTTGATGTTTCCCTGTGCTGGTGCCGGTTTGTTGCTTTGCTCAGCTGGCGGGGTTACCTGCACTGGTTGCTGCGGGACAGGAATCGACTCAGGCACAGGCTCTGGTGCTGCTACTGGTGCTGGCTTTCTCGTTTGGCGACAGACATCGGGACTGAGACTTCTTGATTGGCCAAAGTTGAGAGTTCCAGTCATCATTTTACGGTAACCATCAAGCTCTTGTTGTTGTCTGTCAAGTCCTGCTGGACTGGCTGCATCACTTCTGTTCTTTTCATTTGATGTCAAGCCCTTTGCTTGGACGAAAGCGCTGGAGCGGACATGGTGAGGATCTCGCTCGTAGTACTTGTCGATGATAGGATGGACCATGACGGTCTGTCTGTGGATGGTCAAGAGGGAATTTGTCGGTACGTTGACCCAGTTTTCTGCTTCCAGTCAGTTTACCATTTTCAGATATATCGGGAATTTTGCCTACCTCTCTCGAACGTCAAGGGTTCGCTTGCAACAAGGACAATATCAGCACCCCGATCCTTGCGTTCCATCTGATACTGCTTGTCATTCGCAGATTGGGTACGTGTTGTCCATTGTGTTCCGGAAGAATAGTACAAGCTGGCCGCCTCATCCTTTGAACTGCTGATATATCGAGTGCAGATAACGCTGTGGCCATCGGTAACGGCAAAGTTGAGTAAACTTCGAGTATCAACGTCTTCGTTCTGCAGGATACTCTCGGGAATAGCATCGGTCATCTCGTTGATCTGCGCAATCGTGCGCTTCACGGCCTCTCGAAGGATTGTCGGGCCAAAACCAGTTTCGGGACAAGCGCTTGGGTCGTGGCCGAGTCGCTCGAGAGTATCGAGAAAGAGAGCAAAAGCCCATTCGCTATCGGTGCCGCCCTTAACGCCCAGGTACCACTTGTCGGCTAGACGTTCGCCGAGACGTCGCTTGATGTATTTCCATCCACCGAGTCCTCCATTGTGCATCCACATCAAACTGCCGTGTGTGAAAGGGTGGCAGTTGTCTTCGCTCAGGGAACCTTCGGTCGTAGCACGAACATGGCCAAAGATAAGGCGAGATGCGGTCTTGGAGGCGATACGTTGCAGGTTGGTACAATTCCAAGCGGGAATAGTCGATGTGAAAAGGCAAGGCGCTGCGCCAAGCTTAGGGTCGGTGTAAAAGCCTATGCCGAAGCCATCTGCGTTGTTCTGACCTCGTCTTGTATCCTAATAGCGTCGCATCAGGTCAGATATGACGTTGCTTCAAGTATCGGTCAGGATTGTGGGGGTGACTCACGAGACGCAGTCGGGAATCAAAAGATTGTTTAAGAATGGAGTGAGTTGGATCGAGAATCAGTTTTGACAAGAGGATCTCGTCGCTTCCTTTGTAGACCTAGAAAGAAGAGTTGCGAGGTCAGCGTTGAAGTTCTCCGACCGAGGATCCGGCTTCGGAGACCCAGATAAGGAAAAGGGACCCTTTGTTATAGGGGAGGGACTCACCAGAAAACGACACATGGTTGTGTCTTGTGCGCGCGCGAACAGTTACCTCTCGCTGGATAAAAAAAGAAGGAGGACAAGTGTGATAATCGAAAAAGAATGAAAGGAGGAATTGTTTGGAGGAAGGGGAAAGAATAAAGAGGATTGCGTGTTACGGGAGGACAGGCAAGACACTGGACACTGTCGTAGATTAATTGTGAGAGTGATTATGGTGAGGGATGACACCATTGGCCTTGGACCTCCACTATGGACCTGGACCTTTGGATTCAGGGTTGCTTTTTTTACTGGGCCTGTCTTCGGTGGCTATCGGTGAAAGAGAACGGGCCATCGGCTTTTGGCTCCTGCAGCCCTGTCTTACCATTCCAATGAAGGGGGGATTAAATAGGGGCATTTTCCTAAGATCTACAGGATCGATGCGATATTCATTAACTTGAGATAGAATAATAGCGTCTTGTTCAGCTAATTCATAGACCATTTATCAGAATGAAAGATTATTGCAGACCGCTGTCCATGCATTATCTTGAGGCTGCATCCGCTGTATCCTTGCAGTAAAGACTTCAAACTCTGGGGAATGTCCCGCTGTTAGTGGATCAGTTTGCGGCTCTCGTCTAGACAAACAAGCACCCATTCTCAATCTCAATCTCAAGTGCCGGAATTATCTTTGAATAACTTTGCTTTTTCCTTGAACGATGACTCGCTCTTGTCTCAGCACGTCAATAGCCCCTGAGAAGTTGTCATTAATAAATGTCTTGTAGCAAAATGATAATTCTCAGGAACAAGAACTGTCCGGTCTGCCACATTCCACAATGAGACATGAAAGACGGGAGTTGCCAACCACTGACCTTCTTTAGCGCCACTATTGACTGCCCTTGCATTTGGGAAACTTGGAGAGCCACAGCTGAAGAATGATGTCAAGGTGAAGAGATGTGGCGGTTTCTGCGTTGACTGTGGCTGTGGCTGTCAGTGGCTAGACACTTAGTGGTAGGGAATCAATCTACGCGAAAACACCGCGGACCGTGCTCTAGAAAGCGTGTAAATGGGCTGGCGCGACCACGACCACCGCGTTCATCCAATATCCACTTAGTAGCTCGCTTCTAGTCTCAGCCCCAGCTCAAACCCAGCCTTTTGCTCTGGCAACCGACCCGAACCTACAATTGGGGCCGTACTTTCCATGTCATTGTATTTTTTCCCTTTTGCTCGCCTTGTTCAACGTCGACATGTTCTGAAACTTGATACCTCTTGCAAAAAGATTGAGTCCATATCATATCTTGACCTTGTTCTCATCCATATATAACCTTAACGCGGTCATCCTCAGCATTCATCCATATCTTCAACCCAGCCACCCGCGGCGGGCTTCATCAGAGGCTCGTTTCGCCTACCATGTCCTCTTTTGATCCCGATACTCTTCCCACGCCTTCGTCATCGTCACGACCAAAAGGAACGCCTTCGATTACACCGAGAAGATTCAATCGGTTCTGGCAGCCTAGACACGCCCAAACTCAGCCGTTGCCAAAGTTTAGGACTGCTCTTGGTAGCTTGGATGAGGCCGACATCAACCAGCAACCCATCTCACCTCAATCGCTCTTTATTCCTTCATCTCCGACAGAAAGATTTCAAGATGATTCACGGAAGAGGAAGCTTCAGACCGATGAGTCGGAGACGGACGGCGGTTTCAAGAGGCCAACTCTCAACCTGGATGATATGCCACCACTTCGATTGACTCGATCAAGCAGCACAAATTTACTCAATCAGGACGATTTAAAAGCGTCTGGTAGTTTTTCCAGTTCTTTTAGTTCGGAAAATCTCGATAGCTGTAGAAAAGCTACTCTGGTAAGTCCAATTGCAGTTCAATTCTCACCAAACCTTTACTAACAATACAACAGAGCAGTTTCTTCAAGACTAGTCGTGGAGCTGCTAGAACCTCTAAGAAAGGAAATTCTGTTACTACTACTCAAATTGTCTCCGAAGAACCTCAGCTTGATACAGTATGTTGATATACGTCCTAATATATTGATGGCGTCACTGACATCATCACTTTTAGGAGCTAGTCGACTACGCACCCAGACCAATTAGAAAATTCGCCAATAGAGGCTTCGACTCTCAATTACTCAATCGCGAACATGGATTTGGATATTCGGCCGGCCAGTCGCTTCTTCACACACCAGCTTGCGACCCCCGAGTTGAAACAGCCCGGTTTCACAGCCGTTGTATCGATTCGCACGAGTTATTCGCTCCTGACAGCGACAGCCACACCATTCCTTTCTGCCTCGCCAGTACTCACAATGCTAATGTGACGGCCCTTGGTGATGAAGAAGGCTGTGTTAGATTCTTCGACACTTCTCCAAACGACGATCCCAGTGTCGATAAACAGCTGGGTGTTCATAACATCCATGATAATGCTATCTGGGACATGGACTTTTCTCATGATGACATGCGTCTTGCGACTACAGCTGGTGATGCAGGTTTAGTTATGGACGTCACGACCAAGACTGTGGCGGCCAGACTCTCCGAAGGTCATCTTAGCTCAACTCGTCAGATTGCTTGGCAGGAAGGGCAATCAGTTGGTAATGTGCTAACTACCTCGGATAAGGCTGGCCGTATCCGACTGTGGGACTTGCGATGTGCATCTTCTCATGTGAGAAGCTTTTCGACGGTGAGTTATGATGAGTCAGGTCGTCGAACTGTCACCATGCGAGATGAGACTTCCAGACCACTGCAAGCAATGACTGCAAACACTCTTGACAACACACATGAACGTAATGCGCATGGAAAGGTTTCTGTTGCTTCCGTCACCGCTATCCAATGGCTTCCCGCTGGTCGTGAACACCTTCTACTCTCTGCCTCTGAAGCAGAGGCTGTAGTCAAGCTCTGGGATCTCCGATACATCAACCGTCGACACCAAGAAAAGAGTATCCCCTTGTCCTCCACAGCCGTACCCTCGAATCACGCTTGGCGCTCCTACGGCATCACTTCTCTAGCCCTCAGCAGTGATGCCAGCCGTATGTACGCAGTCTGCAAAGATAGCACTATCTACGCATACTCCATGGCCCATCTCATGCTCGGCCACGCTCCCGAACTTAAGGACGACGCTACTAAACGAAGGCCTGTTGCTTCTCAAGGTCTAGGACCCCTTTATGGTTTCAAGCATGATTCGTTTGCTGCGCGAACGTTCTTCGTCAAGTGTAGCATGCGACAGAAGGGTCTTTCTCACTCATCTGATCTCCTCGCTGTTGGCAGCTCTGAGTCTTCAGTCGTACTTTTCCCTACAGATGAACGGTATCTTCGCTCAGCCTGCGCCCAGCGCGCTCATCTCCTTGATCACCCAGGATCCGCCCCTACACCCTCCCGCTCCTTCTCATCCAACGCCGGCGCCGAACCCAGCTCGTCTACAATCCCAATCTTCCGCAACGGCACGGCCCTTGTAAACGGCCACACACGTGAAGTTAGCAACGTCAGCTGGAGCCATGACGGCAAACTGGTTAGTGCGTCTGACGATCACCTCGTCCGACAGTGGCAGGAAGATGAAGGCAAAGCTCGTTACTTCAGACAGATTGGCGACTTTGGTGGTGAGCGATTCAATGCGGGCTGGGCAGACGTAGGTGACGACTGGGATGTTGATGATGATGAGTAAATGAGACGAGATGATAGCATCCTGCGGTAGCGCATGGCGTTTTTCTGGATTACACGATACCCCCAAACACCAATATGGGCATTTCAAACATATATGTTATAATAGCGGAAATCTGGAGTCACTCGAGGACATGAACGGATTCACCAGCGGGATTTAGAATAGCCTGTACAAAGAATGGCGTTGTAAGGTAGCATTCATGAGACGAGAATAAGAACATACTTTCTTGAAAGAAATAGCATTTAAGCTTTTGTATGATAGGGTACTATCTTGTAACGTAATCTAATGTCGTAATCGTTGCTCTCTGTAGAATATGTATATGCGTATTTGGGTATCGAGTACAGTCGTATATGTGTATGCTCGTGAATAAAAATGCAACCAACCAACTCCAGATAGACGTGTTTCTCCCAGCAAGGGGTATCCTGAATGCTTCAACTCCTTTAAAACACCAAACAAAATGCAATCGCTATGCATGACAAGACATGTAAACTCTACTGTCTCATGCTTCCACCATGGTTACATCGCGGCCGTGACGTACAGAACATAACGTTCCAAGGATAATAACCCCAACAGTCAAAATTATCAACCAGTTGATGAACCCAATACTGGTCATCTTCTTAGAAGCAACCTGGATGCATTCGTTCAAATCATGCTCTCCCTCCGTTGCTTTGACATCATAACGCATCGGTCGGGGCAACGTCTTGTCAAATCTCATAGACTTGGAAAATGCTGGACAAAGCTCAATTGATGATGCATCATCCTTGGAGAGACCAGGGTGACCGATCGGCATCTTGATCCCACTTTCTGGCTCCACAGGTGATGAAGCCGCACCGTATTTCCAGATCGACCAAACTAATTTAGTGCCGTTCGGTTTTGGAGATCGTTGAATTCTATCTTTGGCAATAGAAACGCTGTCTCTGAGACGCGAGCGGAACGGATGGAATTGGTCGACCAGGTCAAGCAGTGATGTTGGACTATCGTTTCCATCACGTGTCGGGCCATCGCAGAGCTTGTCGAGTTGCTGGACTAGAAGTGTCATATTGTCAAATATACATATTGACTCTTGTACAATATCCTGCTTCTCGCGTGCTGATAATTCCCCCTCTATGCTGGCGAGTCGTCGCTTAAATTCGCGTTTTAAATCTTCACCGTCTTCAGGAGTCTGGAAGTGGAAAAATCGAAGGGGCATCGTGTGAGTCGCATGGTGATGAAAGTCGTCCTGTGGAATCTGGTTGTCGGACAAGCCACTGGCCCGCTTAGTTCGCCGTGTGCTCTCCTCACAAGGTATAAGGGACGGCAGTACTGGTGAAGGTAATCGATCCCAGAATTCATCTCCAGCCGATTCTAGCGTGGCCCTGATAAAGCGACCGCCGGCAAAAAGAGCCATGAACAAGATGTAGGAATAAGCCAGTAGTACATGGGGCCGGTTTTGTACAGATCTTCTTATGTGCTGGAGAAAATCCCCCAAGCGACCATTGGTCTCAGCAATGCGTAACTGCTCCTCAACAGTATTACTTGACCACCCCGACAAATTTGCAATATCCGCCTTTAAACGTTCCGATCGCATTAATCCCGGAAGATATAATTGTTGAAGTAGCTCTGGCATTCTACTGCAGCTCGATAGCTCGTGGGCATCGGACGAGAACGAAGACTTTGTTGACTGTATTGGCGAACTCTTAGAAAAGCAGGCATTGGCGTTATTATCGCAATCTATAGGCGAACCGGACTCGATTATATCTCTCCATAATGTCTCGAAGGTGATGTAAATAGGCGTAATATGCAATAGTCCAGTGATGTATGAGGACGAATCGGCAGCAACAGGAGGTAACGCAAGCGGTAGCCGAGCGATAATAAGCTTGTTAAGCTTGGCGTGCACCGACCTGGTAGCAATGGCGATAGATTCAGCTAATGGACGATCATGTTGTTGAAGTTGAGGTTGATATCGAGGCTGAGGATGTTGTGGGACACCGGCTTGGAGGGAAGCCATTTCCCCTGTTGTTTGCCCTGGGTTGTAGGGCCACCCTAAGGCCAGGGCTTGTGAATGGAGGAGTTGGAGATTATAGGTTTGGAGTCGAAAGTATAGACCAGTTGGTACAATGGGACGGAAGAGGGTATTAAAAGGAAAAGAGTGAGAGACGAGGTTTCAAAGTCAACAAGAACTAGGGTTAAGTCGAGTTGAAACAGGTCAAGTCTGATTAGGTCAAGTGAATGTATAGGTGCTGCAACAGGGTTGTAGTGTAGGTAGGAAGAAGAAATGGATGTCAGGTTCGAGGTCGAGGGTCTAGGCCGAAGGGACCCTGCAGATGAGATGAGATGAGATTCGAGAGAGGCAAAAGGGTAACGTCAACAACAGAAAGCGGAGCTACGAGGAAAGAAGAAAGGGTCTCTTTTTGCTGGGATATGATGTTATGCAATGCACCTTCTTTCCTTCTTTTTGGTTTATGACAAGAAATTGGGCAAGAGACTATAGAAACCTGAGTCAAGACCGCTCCTCCCAATTTTGTGTCATTGCTAACTTCCATATGGATTGCTGCTTATCAAGCCACAGATGAAGAGTGAATAGAGGTACTGATTCACAGCAAAAAAATATGAAATCACATCTCCATTCCCAGCAGACGCCACAGGTACAAGGGCAATGCAGATCCCCCTCATGACAAACTCACCCCCGAAAGGATAAAGGACCCATGACCCGGAGCGTTTTGCTAGAAAAAGAAGCTCCCCCACCAGCTAAAAATGAAGTCATGATCGGGCTTTTGGCGTGTAATCGGCCTGTGGCGGATAGTTTTACAGGGGTGTTTGGTCCCCGGAGCCCTGGGTCAGACAAAAAGGAAGCAGGAGCCACGGAGCACCTCCGGACCCGGGATAAGGGTACAAGGATGCAGATTCTACCAAGATATGCATTGTTCGAGACCACAGAATTAATGATGGGGAAAATTTGTTCAAAACAAGGCGAGATTTTTGTTGGTTTTTTGTGGGTGAGTTTCATGTTTTCATCTAGGGTCTCTTTCAGCTGTCAAAAAGCAATGACATACACGTCAATGCAGATTGTGTCATAGCCAAGTCCGTACCCAAATAAATCACAACAACACCAGAAACATACAGAAACATGATACGATACTCACTTGATCAACGCCTCATACATTCTCTACACCTTCTCAAAAAGTGCAACCGTTAAACGACTGTCGCATGTTCATAATCCCTGCTCCTCATCCTCTTCCCCGACGCTACCCTGGTTCCGCGACATAGACTTTCACTTTGCCTGCCCAGCCAGCGGGGACCTTTTGTCTGTGCTGTGCATTCGATCTTGGCAGATCGTCGACTTTGATCCAAGATCGAGATAGACATTGGAGATGGATAACGTTAAGGGTCCAGAACCACGACACTGGGCGCAGGACCCTGCCACGATCATAACTTGCTTACAAAATTATCTGAATCGGGAAACGGATATCGAATAAGGTTTCTGACTCGTTGTATTTCATATCGATGCCATGCTTGAAATAAATGCTCGTCTACTAATCAATAAATATTGTGCGGTTGAAACGCCGGCTATATCCAATGCCCATGTCCTTATCCATGCCCGATTCCTAACTTGCTGTTGAGAGCAACCCAAACGCCCCATATGTCCATAAACTCATGCATGCATTCGTTATCATCACGATCCGTACTTTTCAAACCCCAACCGATCTCTCAAGATCATCGTCCTTTTTGAAATCCTCCTCATCATGGCTTTCGCGACTAACCACGATAAATGAAACGAACACAACCACAGCACCAACCCAGTAGGTGAAGCTTGAATATTGCTGGTATTGGAGAATTTCTCCAATCAGAGATAATGGGATGGTGAGTGATAGGCCAACTGTCACCACCAGCGGTGTTGTCATGAGGAGGGCGAGAGCCCATGAGATATCGCTGATGAATGACGATACCGCATTGAACTAAGATGTGTCAGCACTCTTTTCTTTGGGTAGACTGTATCGGAGACTTACAATAATAATACCCCAGATGGTACCGCTTGGTGGGAGTTCAAACTAATAACTGTTAGTCTCCAAGTCGCCTGGAAGAGCTCAATAGGGCCAACTTACAGGCTCGATACCCGTCCAATGCAAGACAAAGAAGAGAGGCCACAAGAGAACCACGTTGAAAACACCAACAAGCCCAAAGAACATCTGCATATCGACCTTGTCCTCATTCGGAACCTTGCGCTTCATCACCGTCACGTAGAGACCATAGATAACAGCACTCAAGAGCGCCATCGCATCTCCAAGAGCAATCTGGTCGAATGATTTATGAGGGAAAGATCCTCTGTCCTCATCAGACTTTCCAGATAGATCCACTGTTGAGATGAGAATGACGCCTGCGAGTGAAGCTGTTACGCCCATGATCTTGGCTGTAGAGAAGCGCTCAATGCCGAATAGGGAGCAGAAGATGAGTGTCCAGACACTGCTCGTAGATGTCAAAATCGTTACGCTCGCGACGCTGGTATGTTCGAGACAGGCGGATGAGAAGTAATTTGCCGAGAACCAAAGCATGCAGAACTCGAAGCTTAGAACAGCAGTATCCTTGAAGCTCAGCTTCTCATCAGACGAGGTGTTTGTCGTGCTTCCGTATCCTTGCGCTATCAAACGCTCTGTCGCCTGCTCGTCTTCGCTTCGATGTGCGGATTTCGAGTAATTTGTGCCATGCTTATAATCGATCCAGAGTCGGTTCGCATCGTGTTTCAGTCCGTGCAACCCACTTTTTCGTAGGTAGTTGAAGAACTTTGGTATCAAGGAAATTGCGAATATAGATGTGTTGAGATAGACGACGAAGAAGGGTTTGTTATACGTTTCGTCAGAGAACATATACTAGAATGGCGCATCAGTATCGATACCAGTCAACCGTTCAAGGACTCTTACACTGGCGATAAAGTTGTACATTGTCCATAGGAACACCGTCAGTAGAAGCAGCGCAAAACCAACAGTCCTTCGAGCGACGCCGCTCAAGCCCAATCTTGCCCTCAACCCAACTGGCGACGCTGACCTCGACTCGAGGAGCGGACTTGATGGTACAGCCTCATCGTTCGTTTCGTGTCGCTCGCGCGGATGCGATCCTTCATCTGAAAAAGTCGACATGGCCGGTGCCATTTGAAGAGTTTAAATGCGACCGACGTCAATTAAGTTTCCCCAGAATAGCGCAGTGCGCGTTTCGGGCCGAGTCGAGTCGCGATAAGCGATGATGTATGCGCCACGCAATAGATTGGATCTTAGCGAACAAGATAGAAAGTCAAGTCAAGTCAGTGGGGTGACTCAGAATTTGAGAATCAAGAGAAATGCTTTTGTTTATGTGGTCGCGGATGTCGGTATCATGGCTTCGCTGTAGTTGAGCACGCAATTAATTGAAGCGGGGAGATAAGTGACTGTTTTTGGGTAATCTTTTGCAATTAATGTACAAGATAAGGGTTCGTTCGTTTTTTCGAGCCGGTATCGGGGGGTTTATTCCCGGTAGGTTATCAGTGGTTACAGTGCTAGTGACATCACCTCGTGATATAGTCAGGTCGTGTAAGTCGTGTAACAGTATAAATATTACACTGCAGAATCTATTCCCATGATTATTTTTGTATAACCATCTGGAATGCTCCTGCTGACCGCCTTCTTAAGTAATGGATATCATCATTTTGACCTTAGGGTAACGCAGTCTGAGGCTATCGTGGTGTATTACAAGGACATCTGTGTTGGCCGATAGCTAAATCTTGAAGTAATTTTGTTCCATTAAGAGCAGTAATACTGAGCCACCTGCATGTATTCATGCAACAGGGTGTGGTAGAACAGGGCGTTTGCTTTCTAGAGAACTTACCGTGTTATGTGTGAGATCCATGCTGGGTACCGTTCTGCACAAACATAACAAGCATTTTTTTGAGATGAGTACCATTCATCAAACAGGAAGTAGTTTTGAGATTACTTGTTACGTTTCAGGGCTGTTGAGTCATAGCCCTTTAAATTCACTTTTAAATACATCGGACCGTCATAGAGGTGTCGACGAGGAACAGCATTAAAGTGAATATGCAGTAAAACGTAGATTCCAAAATCCGTGGGTCTCATCCATCGAAATATTCATATTCAGGTAACTTCAAGTACCTACCTAGGTAGTCCAAGAAAGAGCAACCAGATAGGGCTCTGGGTGGAAACAAATGACACGAGTTCTATCGGGAAGTTGCATCTGGTGCGCACTGCCAACTGGTACAAGGAAAATAATAGCCTAGGTACCCTTTTTGAACGACACTTAATCACTGCCACCTGGAGTTTAGATAAACATGAATATTACCAAGCGATGCGGCAGGGGGGCAACAGGCAACAGAAGAAATATTCTCTAAAGCTTAACCTAAAAGCCAGTCTAAGCTCACATAAGGTGATCAAATTATTTCATCTCTTATGCTCTCCGCTGCTAATTCTTGTATTCAAAACTATTTATCCCCCTCCGAAAACTTAGATCGACATTTTACTTTCTATCCTGCAGAATTTTGATGGTATTATACCCGATAATATCGAAGTCATATGTCAAGACTTTGCACAAGAGAACTCGACAATAACGAAGACATACGAAATGGCTCCAAGAAGACCCTCCCTTTCGTCCGGAGAGATGTATTCCTCAGCAGAAGAAACACGGAGATCCTCTATGGTCGACATGGAGAAGTCTCCAGAAGGTCCAAGAGGTGATATGGAGAGATCACGCTCCAGGGTCTCGAAAGAAATCCCAAAGCCTCCATCAAGACCCAAACATGGGAAATCGAGGAGTTCGAAACTACCTAAGAATCGGATTTCAAAACTACCCGCAAAGACTCAAGAAAGCCAGAGCAAAGGGGGGCAGACATCTTGGTCGCCGGTCAAAAGACTATGCATCGTGAATAAAAACGATAGCATTATATACAGCGTTCGAATCACAGTAAAAACAATGCAAAAGGCATGCAAAGGATGGTCGACACTGCGCCGCTTGACAGATGGGAATAGGGGCATCCGGATTGCAGTCATGAACGGGGATGATGGTGGCGACATACATGTTTCTCAGGTAAAGCCTGCGCTCAGAGCCGTCGTCCAAATCATCCATGGGAGCCACACCGACAAGCACTATGAGGATGCCGACCCTCGCCTTTTATTCTATATGGTACTGATCCACGAAGCCCTCGGGGCGTCATCATCCGTCAAGAGCTCCGAACCTGACGCGAAACCCACAAAGACTATGCCGTTCTTCTCACATTATGCTATCGAACGAGAGATTTCAAAGCTTGTTGCAAAGAATAGGTATCTGTACCGTGTTTCGAACCGGCCTTTACTGGCCGTGGTCGCTGACAGAATAAAGTCTCGAGTGATAAAGCAGTTATTTCGTGATGAGCTGGTTCTATTCTGCGAAGCGGAACAGAAAGGTGTGCCAGAAGGGACGAGGCATATGATCAAGGACAGCGAATGGGCCTTGATACAGGAATTGCCGTTGGTTGGTACGACACCCAGACACCAGAGGACATTACAGAACTTGCAACTGATATATTCGCAGATGATAAAATGTTGAACAACCGGTTATTTTGTGTCGAAAGGATCTTCAAGGCTCTGCGACTCCTCTCGTACCAAGTCCTGAACATGGACCAAGGCATTCTCCCGAATCGAACCGAACTCGAAGTTTACCAAGATTACAAAGTGGCGGCATGCGAAAGGTGTTACTCTATCCCGTCGTACGATCTTCATGAAAAGCTTCTCGAGGCAGGACTTTGGCCCCTAGGCCCCAGCTCGTCGTACAAGGGCACTTTGATCGGATTGATACGTAAGATAAAAGACATGGAACGGGATTTAGCGTACAGAGCGCGAAGGGATTGCAATCAGTTGACTCATCTGTCCAAACGTTTGTGTGAAATTACCGGATACAGGCAGACCTAGAACTGGCGAGTTGGTGAATGGAAGGGGTGAAAAGGAAAGGGTAGATCGGCAGGTAGGTAACGGAAGGGTTGTTCTCCGAGACTTAGGCTACTAAAATAAAGTAGCCTGAGTAATAGTCTAATATGGTTTAAGATAACTAATTCTTTTTGTCTCTTATGTTTATTCTCTTACCCTTGGCGGCCAATTCTTCTAACACTCTGACGATGGGCCAATTAGTATCGATTGGTTCGGTTATAATACTTTTTTATCTCCAAAGAGTAGGCATTCATTTAAGCTTAGGATGAGAAAACCATGGCTTGAGGTTCCATTCCCTTGCCTTCTTCCAAAACTCCGGCCTTTCGCAAGATGTTGACGGTGTTCTGCACCACCTCAGGGCGAACTCCCTCGGTCTTTGTAGGGAACTTGACTGTCTTGAGCCACTCTCGCGCATCAGGCTCCGTGTAGCCAAGACTGCTCGAGATATACGCCACCGACTCCTCCTGGTTCTCATTAAAGTGTTTAATACCCTGGTCCAACTTTCCAAACAGATCCTTCACACGAGCATCCAAGCCGTCCTGCGTCAACTTGGTCGAAGCGACGATCTTCCAGCTGCTCCAGGGAGTGTAGATCTCACCAACGCGACGGATCTCACCAGAATCGTAGAACTTCTTGGACGTAAAGTGTTCCCACATGAAGAAGTCGGCTTCACCGCTGTTGACGGCATTGCGTAGGTTCTCAAAGGTGTTGAGGACTACTGTTTCTTTGTAGGGCTTTGCTGCGGCGCCAGGGGTTAGCCAGCCTTGTTGGTCAGCTAGCACGAAGCCCATCACATAGCTGCCTGAGCCGATTCGTGAGACGCCGATTTTGCCGTTCTTGAGAGAGTCGACGGATGTGATTTCTGGACGCTTTGCGCCTGTGGAGATTGCCCAGCCTAATAATCAATGAGTAAAAGTTCTGTGTATGAGAATGAGAGTCTTACAGAGGGGAGTCTCGACGTAAGTTCCAACAAGGCGATATCCACCGTCTCCTTCAACACCTTCCTTGCCTAAACCTGCAATCCATCCCTCAGTTAGACCAACAGCTACATCAATTTCACCGGAACGAATGGCTGTGACCATATGGCCTGTTCCGGATGGGAAGGGAATGAGAGTTGCATCGAGGCCGAAGTGTTTCTGAGCGAAGTGAAGAGGTGTCGAGAAATGTTCTGGCACGAAGCCGATGCGAAGAGGAGAAGACATGATAGGCTATGTAGTATGAAAGTAGTATGAAGCTGTATTGTTCCGGGTCTGGCGGTTGTTATAAGATCATGAGTTGATAGTGTAGGGTGAACTACCGAAGCGGAGACGGACCGGATGCGGGGTTTACGGCCCCACCGGACATGGCGGAGGTTTAGACTTTCATGATGCTTCATATCAGAAACACGGCAATTCTTAGATATGATATCATATGAGACTTAGTATCTGAGTCTTAAATCTTGATGTAAAGCTGTGAGATTGTGTAGACACCACTTGCTATGGATATCAAGCTGAGAGTACAAGTATGACAAAGAATTCCATGAATGCACAATACAAAATATAAAATGCAGTGCAACCAAGATCCGATATTTTAATACGCGTATAGCATCGCACGGGCTACAGGCCACGCAATTATCACTGTACAGCCCTACAGCAGGGATCATTACAGCCCCTGAATTAGATCAATAGGTACGGGTAGTTCCGTAGCTCAAGCTGTCAACTGGAATTTCTATGGTAAAAGTACGACACACAAGCCTCAATTTTTTAGGTGCTTAGTAATTTTAGTGTAGGACGACGGCACGGCTCAGCCTCCCTTTTCTCATCTCACTCTTTTTTCATTCTTGTTCTCTTCGATACCTTATTCATATGTAGCGAAATGGCATCTCCTTGAGTCGCTCTTTTTTTATCTTCAAGATGCCATCCAAATATCAACCCGTCGCAAGTGACGACGTCGAATTAGAATCTCATCTAGACGCACCCTTGCTCGATCTAGACCCTCTAGAAGATGACGCGACGAGCTCCAACGCCAATGGAATCTTCCACGCCCAGGCCGAGCCAGTTCCTAGTTATCGCTTTTCACGATGGGGCGTTCATTCACCGAAGCGCATTGTCATTTTGGTATCGGTTATCAAGTTTGTTGTTGTTTTGAGCGGCATGTTGTTGATGCTTCCGACTGCGAGATTGATTGAGGATATGTTTTGCCATATACATTACAAAGATACTTCGACAGACATCATTGATGAGATGAAGTGCAAGGTCGATGAAGTGCAGTCTCAGTTGGGGTATTTGTTTGGGTGGACTGGGCTTATCACGTCTCTTGTTGGTGAGTATCATCTGAACCAGTTATTGTTGCAGTTGACTGACAGTATATAGGCCTTGTTGTAGCTTTTCCTTATGGAACCATGTCTGACAAGATTGGACGAAAACCAACGCTCATGTTTTCTTGGGTTGGCATTGCTGTTTGCTATCTCTTTGCACCTTTTAGTATCAAGGCTTTTCAGGGTTCTTTGAGGGATAGACCTTATGTGCTCGTACTTGGAGGCTTCTTCCAAATCTTTGGTGGTGGAATTCCAGTGTTGATGTCTACTCTTTATTCGATTGCCGCTGATGTTAGCACTGAAGAAAACAAGTGAGTAATCTCGTCCTTCTTGTACTGCCTTAACTTATAGGATCTCCAGGGCAAAGCACTTCTTGTGGTCTGCATTTGGTGCCACAGCTGGAGGTATCAGTGGTCCTGCAATCGCCGGAATCTTGATGAACAAATACGGCCCATGGCTTCCTATCTATCTCGTCTTGTTCTTTGTTCCCATCGTCATGGGAATTCTTGTTCTCCTCCCCGAGACTCTGACAGTCAACGCCAAGAAGCAACAAGCCGGCAAAAAGTCTCCGAGTACTCTTAAAGAGCATATGGCACACGGCATCAAAGATCTCAAACATTCGCTCAACATGCTCAAGAATGTCAGCGTCGCCATGATTCTCATTACATTCTTCATCCAGACCGCGCGATACACAGCTTACACGACGACGATGAGCCAGTACATCAGCAAACATTTCAAGTGGAAGATGGCAGACGTCAGTCTGATCCTTTCGCCGTTGGGAATTCTTGACTTGACCATTCTAGCTGGTCTGCCAAAAGTTGGAGATAAGCTCATGTCATCACCTCGCTTTCGCATGACAGCCTTCGGAAAGGATCTATTTCTCACTCGCATTTCAACCGTGATGCTCGTCCTCGGCGCATTCTGGCAGGGTCTAAGTCACAACGTCGGCATGTTCTTCTTCGGCCTATTCATCGAAACATGGGGTGCTGCTACAGGACCACTTGCTCGCGCAACAGTCACGCATTATGTGCAACCAGAGTATACGGCTAGACTGTATGCCTTGATAGGCATGATTGAAGTGATAGGTTCGTTTATTGCGGGACCTGTTCTGGCTTGGTGTTTTGACCTAGGGTTGAAGAAGAAGGGTATTTGGATTGGATTGCCGTGGTTTTATGTTTCGTTTCTGTGTGCTATAGCACTTGCGGCTTTGTATCGTGTTAAGCCGCCTGTGAAGCGTCCAAGGGAAGATGTGGTTGAGAATGAGGGTTATGAGACGGATGATTATATGCCTGATGATCCTTTGAGACTTCGATAGACAAGTTGAATATTAGATATTAGATTGACATCGATAATTCGAGATACCCATTTCTGTTTACAGAGTATTAATTCCGTTCGTATCTAAACGCTTTCTTACTGATTGCAGGGATCTACATTGACCAGGTAGACTAATGCTCCCCAGATAGTCTAGACTCTTCAGCTTATCAGCTCAACCTTCACCTTCCGGATAAGGCCATATCAAGGGTACTTTTGCAAGGCGTCGTAATTCATCCAACAAATCAAATCCTCGAGCCGAAATCGCAATGAACCAATCTCTACTTCTTCTGAGAATCTGTTCGGATCTCATTCGTCCGAGTTGATGAATGCTGACAGCTTCAACATGACCTGACCTTTTCGAGACTTTCGCATCCTTAACATCCTAGAATCAGGAATTAATAACATTCACGATCATTTGCCTGCCTGTTCAGAAGTGCATCAATGTGTATGCAGGGCGTCGCGGTACCAAGCCATCGGATATAAGCCGCGGACGGGCGTAACGTCTCATCCAGATTGCCTCTTTAAGGACGGCCAAGACTGGAGCATTTATACCAAGCCTTGGCTTCTCTCCTAGAAATATTTCTTGTCTTCATCTATCATGGGTGATTACAATGCGACTGTTTGTGGAGATGGCCTCTTTGGACCAAGTGTTTGGACCGAGGGCTGTCGTGGTGGGTTCGACTTTACTTGTAAGCATGGCTGTGAATCCATTTGAAGTGTTACTGATTTTAGACAGTGTCTTTTCAAGAGAGTATACTGAGTATTGCTCCATCTGCTGTGTTTCTTGCTGTTGCAGGTCCGAGAGCGTATTATCTCCTTAAAACTACAGACAAGGCAAAGCGGCACGCGACATATACACCTAAGCTTGTAAGACTTATCCTGCTATTATTTGATGTCTTTGCTAATGTTGTTGATAGATCACATCGGCTATATATGCAGCATTGCAGGTGATTCTGCTAGCATTCGTGCCCTCGATAAAGAAGCTAAACACTCGCTTTTCCCTCGCAGCAGCCATATTAAATCTTCTAGCAGCTTTCTCGATCCTTTTGTTAGCTCACGTAGAGCATGTCAAGTCCGTTCGACCTTCTTTTCTTTTGACGGCTTATCTATTCGTCACACTGCTATTTGATGCTGCACGACTACGCACGGAATGGCTCGTTTCTGTCAACATCGCATACGCTGCGACTTTGTCTGCCTCGACGGTCTTCAAATTGGCTCTTCTCGTCTTGGAGACGGTCGAAAAGCGAAAGATCCTGATTACTGGTGATAAAGAGATCTCGAAGGAGAGTACCAGCGGTCCTTTTAGTCGTGGTTTCTTTGTTTGGTTGAACTCGTTGCTCATTTCGGGTTGGGCTACGGTTTTGACTATGGATGACCTGCCTACTATCTATGAGAAACTATCGTCGGAGAAACTTGCTGTCAGATTCGGAAAGGCTTGGAAGAGATGTAAGTTCCCTCTGTTGTAGGAGATATCATGTTCTAACGCAGAACTACAGCAACTTCGAAGAGCAAGAAGCCTTCCCTGTTCAAAACTGTTGTTAGTGTTTTGCGATGGGAACTCCTGGGCATCATACCGCCTCGCATCGGCATGATCGCTCTCAGCATCTCACAGCCCTTCCTCGTCAGCAACGCCCTGCGCTTCTTGGCTATGCCTGACTCCGAGTCTACTACCAACTTGGGCTACGGCTTGATCGGCGCATTTGCTTTTGTCTTTATCGGTTCTGCTGTATGTGTCCATCCAACGTATCCGTATCATAAGCTAACCCTTTGCAGATACTTACAGCGTGGTATGAGCATTTGACATTTAGAGCCGGCGCCATGGTTCGTGGTGGTCTCATCACTATGATCTACAGCAAAATGATGAAGCTTCCCACCGATGATCTCGCGGAGTCCTCGGCTGTTACACTCATGGGAAACGATGTCGAGACACTCATTGAGAAGCTTCACTTCTTGCTGGTAGAGTCATGGGCCACTACTCTCACTGTGGCTATCGCTATGTACATGTTGGCAGCTCAACTGGGCGCTGTCTGCGTTGCTCCCATTGTCACAGGAATTAGTAAGTCCTATTATTGTAAATTGGGGTTTGCATGCTAATTTTGTAGTCTCTTTGTTACTCACAGGTTCGATCGGAAAGATGATGGTCTCGCGTCAGATCAAGTATCAGAAATCTACACAGGATCGTATCAACCTTACAAACGAGGTATTGAGCTCTATGAAGCCGGTCAAGATGCTTGGACTATCGGAGAGATTCGAAAGTCTTATCTCTGAGAAGCGAGATGTGGAGATCAGCACAGGTAAACACTATCGTCTGATTAATGTCTACCTCAATATGATCAGTAAGTTATCTGAAGCCTCGTATCCATGATTGTAATGTTTTGCTAACAATTCCAGCGAACTGCAACATTGGTATGACTGAAGCCATCACCTTTGGCGCCTATGCCATCGCAGCAAAACTAAGCAACGGCGAGCCCTTCTCTGCAGCACAGGCTATCACTGCTTTGTCCATCCTATCTGTCATGATGGAACCCCTCTCCCAGCTCCTCGGAAGTATTCCTGGATCTTTCTCAGTATTTGGCTGTTTTGAAAGAATGGAAGAGTTCTTGAAATTAGAGGAAAGAGTCGATCGTCGCCAAATCCATGGCCGGTACAAAGAATCCTCCAGACCATCTCAAGAAAGCTCACAGCCTTTGCAGGAGACGTTCAACTCAACAGCCATGAAGGATATCCAGGTCGGAGCTGATGGGAGTAAGATTTTGGTCGCTGACGGAAACTTCAATTGGGGTGAGAAGGCTGTTCTTCAGGATATCAACACTTCTTTTCCGAACCATAAGGATGGATCGCTTACTATGTTGGTTGGACCCGTTGGTTCAGGCAAGTCGAGCTTGCTTAAGGCTATCTTGGGTGAAACGACCTCTTCGAACGGCAACGTATCCTTGAATTCATCGGAAGTAGCCTTTTGCGATCAGACTCCTTGGGTTATGAACGCTACCATCCGCGCCAACATCATTGCAGAATCAAAGGGATACGACAGCGCCTGGTTCGATACAGTTGTCAGTGCTTGTGATCTTACCATTGATCTGGGACGATTTCCTGAAGGAGATCTCACTCAAGTTGGTGAACAGGGTGTTAAGTTGAGTGGAGGGCAGAAGCAACGACTTGCCATTGCTCGTGCTGTCTACTCGAGAAAGCCGATTGCTATCTTTGACGATGTTTTCAGTGGACTTGATAAGGTTACTGAGCAGATCATATTTACTCAGGTCTTTGGAAAGGAAGGCCTTTTGAGGAAGAATGGAACGACCATTATCTTGGCTACTCACGCAGGTAAGTTCCCAGTATTCCAGTCATTTTCGTCAACTGACAATTTGTAGTGAACAGGTTACCCGAATCTGATTTCGTGATTGTTCTCGACAAGGGTGGAAAACTCATCGAACAAGGCACATATTCTGATCTTCGATCTGGAGAAGGATACATCCACAACCTCGACATTTCCAGCCACGATGATCACAATGATCAAGCCCAATCCGAAGTCAAGGTCGAACCTGAAAAGGAAAAGACCGAAACAAAGACTCAACCCAAAGAAGAAGAGCCGACTGAAGTCCCTAGTGACAGAACCGTCTTTATGTACTACTTCAAGTCGAACGGTATACATAACATGTTCCTCCAAGCATTTCTCATTGCTAGTGCTGGAGTCATTACAGCATTCCGATATGTTTGGGTGACTTGGTGGGGTGATGGAAGAGGACGGGATAGTACAGATGTTGGGTATTGGCTCAGCATCTATACTGTTCTTTCTGCCTTCGAGGGCCTTCTCATCACGGCTGCTATCGCAATGTTCCTCTTGGTTTGTGCTCCGATAAGTGGAAAGGTGCTGCATTCACGACTCTTAAAGGCTGCTATAAATGCACCTTTGTCATTCCTCAACAACAGCGAAGCAGGCTCTCTTATCAACAGGTTCAGTCAGGATTTGCGACACGTCGATATCGTTCTTCCCATTGCTTGTTCAGTCTTCCTCTTTGAGGTTGCTGCGTGCTTCGGTGCTGCTGGTCTGGCCATGGCAGCCGTGAGTTGGTTCGCCATCTCAATTCCTTTTGTCATCGCCGTCCTTGTCGTCATTCAGCGTTTCTATGTCCGGACTTCTAAGCAGCTCCGTCTTCTCGAAATCGAACACAAGGCTCCTCTCTTTTCTCATTTCCTTGAAACCATCAACGGCCTCGCTACCATCCGAGCTTTCGGCTGGACGCAGCCATACACTGACAAAGTCCTAACTCGTATTGATGACGCCCAGAAACCATCTTACCTACTCAACTGCATTCAGCGATGGCTTACCCTTGTTCTGGATATGGTTGTTGCCTTTTTGACAATCATCCTAGTCATCTTTGCCGTCACACTCCGCGAAAAGATCAATCCTTCTCTCCTAGGTATCGCATTGGTTAACATGATGAGACTTGGCTCGAACATGAAGGGCATTGTTCTCAACTGGTCAATTCTTGAGACTTCGCTGGGTGCTATTGCGCGTATTCGAATGTTCTGCTCTTCAGCACCTAGTGAGGAGAAGGTCGGGGAGGATAAGAACCCAGGGGAATCTTGGCCGATGAAGGGCGGCTTGGAAGTCAAGAACGTGGATGTTCAATATGAGTAAGTGTAAAGTCCTTATGTCGAACGGCAGGCTAACAGAGTAGACGAACAACCGAGCCTGTCCTCCGCGGCCTTTCATTCAGCGTCAAGCCCGGCCAGAAACTCGGCCTCTGCGGTCGAAGCGGCAGTGGAAAGAGTTCCTTCGTCCAAGCACTCCTCCGAATGGCAGAAATCGTCAACGGCCAGATCACTCTGGACGGGGAGGATATCTCTGTTATACCCCGATATTTGATCCGTCAGCGCTTAAGTTGCTTGACGCAAGACCCTTTCGTCTTTGGAGATAGCATCAGAGCGAACCTCGATCCTTGCAATGAATCTTCAGATGATGAGGTCAGAAGTGCACTGGAGCGCGTGGGTATCTGGTCTGTTATCCGAGCTAAAGTCGATGATGAGAAGGATCCTATTGATGAGAAGATGGATGAGAACTTCCTTTCGCATGGCCAACGGCAATTGTTCTGTCTTGCGAGAGCTCTTTTGAAGAAGAGTTCTCTTCTTATTCTTGATGAGCCTACAAGCAGGTAAGCCACCCTCCCTTGGATTCCATCTTTCACTTTGTTCCATCACTAACATATCGCAGTGTCGATACGCAAACAGACGCCCGAATGCAGGAGGTCATCCGTACAGAGTTCTCACATTGCACTATCATCATGATTGCGCATCGTATTGATACGTTGCTTGACTTTGACAAGGTTGCTGTTCTAGATAGGGGTTCTTTGGTAGAGTTTGGAGCGCCGGAGGAGTTGTTGAAGGATGAAGGGGGTGCTTTTACGAGATTGTATCGTGCCAATAAGGGGAGGAAGACTGACGACTAGGGTGTCAGTGCAGATTGTAAGACGGTGGTGTTTCCTATATCTAGGGGATTAATAACAAGACCTGTATGCTTTTGTTTGACTTATTCGGAGCATTGTTGTCGGGTTTGTGTTACGTGAGTTGTTCATTACTAGTAGATAAGACTAGTGATGTACAGCGCGTATGTTATGTGCTCTGAACAAAAAGTCGCGATTGCTGTGAAGCTTTCGTCAGCTGCCCGCCGTGGCCATTGTTGCAGCAGAAAGGCATCACCACTGAATCACTTCTCAGCACCAATTCAACCAACTATATGATGATTCTCTTCGGCCGCCCCAAGTTTCTCCCCGTCCCTTACCATCACTAAAGAACATTATATATCAATCTTCTACTGCTCCGGCTACGCCATCCTTTGCCACCCCTTGTACCATATTAACAGCAACCCCTTACTATTATACCGAAAGCAACCTTTTCACGACTTTACTAATGTGTCACGGCTACATATTCTGGGCCTCATGTCCCAGCTGCTCCGCCCAGCACGAAATATCAAGAACATTCCATCCCATATGCGACGAAGCCTAGCAGGCAGCCTCGCCCACGTATGGATCTTGCAGGCGAGGTGTGCAATGGGAGTTTCGACAGATCAGACCTAATGGATGGCCTGTACATCGATATTGTAGAGATTGTAGACCTACAGCTTTGAGGAGGAGTCGCAGGTTGAGAAGGAGAGAGGCGCGCTTGGGACGGACGGTGAGGATGCATCGTGCGGTTTATCCTGAGTTTATGCCGAATAGACCAAATTTGAGGAGAGGGTGATCTATGTAGACAGGTATTTCTTTTAGCGTTGTTCGATAGAGATTCCATCAAAGCATCATCTAAAATTAAACTAAGGTTTCCGCGACGCAATGCTGTTCTTCCCAAATATGCAAGCTCTCCTTAACCATCACAACGCAGAATTGAAGCTTTCTTCCATTATTCATCTTCCTTGACCACGTTGTTTGTTTTGTTTGCAGTGACTTGAAGGGTTCACCTCGCAAATAGAGAACAATAGGAACAATAGGCTTGACAAACTAGGGTTCTTCACTGCGTGTCAAACACCAAAGTGTTCTGTCCTCAAAAACCTGTTCATAAAATCTTTAGAAAAGTCTGTTCAGATTCTCTTTGAGTTGACTTTACTATATAAACCTACAATCTTCCTCCACAGGCAAGAGTCTTATTACTCTTTCTCAGCTTAAATAACAGCGACAACCAAAACATTCGCACAACTTTTTCATCAGTAAAGAAATCATCAAACACCGCCAAAATGTCTGAGGTCAAGATCTGGCACCGCATCTGCGTCGTCTGCAAGCACGACGACGTCGTTCAATACACTCAACAACTCCCTACGCCGCCTCCCGAAAACGAAAAGGGCGAAAACGAAAAGGACGAGACCGCCACAGGCGAAAACGACAAGAGCGCTGCAGTAATCCATACCAACTGCCCTGATCCCTCTATGAAGGATACCAATGAAAACTGGCAGTGCCGCTCGTGTCGATCTGCTATGGCGCTCGAGGGTCACAAACTCCAGCTCAAGATGATGGAAGAGCGATCACAGGAGAAGAGGTAAGTTTCCACAGTCAACAAGCTCAAAGTTTTAAAATGAGACCGGATGTACTAACGCGGAGGAAGAAACAGGGAGCTTCCTATCCGGAGTACGGAAGAGCAGGGACGGAAAACAAAGTGATTTTGATACTATGTAATGAGAATGAACACTGTATGTAAGACTAACGTGTAGGAACAGGAGCGAAAACAAAAACAACATGCAGGCAGGATCACCATGCCATTACACAGCATCGGGGAATTAGACGCGGAGGATAAAGGCATGTGATGGAGGCTGATTTTATGATCGCACAACACCAGGATAGAGTATCACAAGTGAGTTGCCTTTCAAAGGTCCATTTAACCATGATCGTGCCAGTGACGCAGAAAGTGTTCAAATTTTGTAAGTGATTCACTGCTCATGCCAGTGACAAACATGTTCGTGGCAGTGCCTTTCAACCTTTTATTGTCAGTGAATGAACAACGATCTTATTTCTATCATCTCTTTGTTAGGCATAAATACTCCATCTGCCGGCTTTCATTTCACCTCTTTCACTCTCAACACCAAGTATAATAAAGAATTTTGCCCCTTCAATATTCTGATTCCCAATTAGCTATACCTCTTCCCGACACTGCTCACCCTTTCATATATCGCATCTCCCACCTTTCATCGACCTTTATTCCCTCTCAATATGTGTCAAACCCTCGTTCTTTACAGAACCTGCGCCCATTGCGAAGTACAATACCGCCTCTAGGAGACCGCGAGATTTCTTCCCGACTGCGACGGCTGTGAGACCTACGGCCGAGGCGCCTGCAACGAAGGCGTCACTCTGGCTCTGGAACCTCATGCCGAAGATAGTACGCGGACGTATGTTTGTGAGGAGTGTGGGTACCAAATGATGCGCCATCAAGCAATGTTGTGGTTGCAGAGGTGGATGCTTTGGTAAATATACCCCGGTGCTGTATCGGCTATCAAGGCAGACAAGGAAGGGAGCTCTGGTTATTGGTAGAGGGCGATGTCAACAAGGCTCTCAAGACCTTCCAGCGAGACTTACTCAGCAAGGTTGAGTGATTTTTGGTATAAGGATACAAGAGGATCTGACAACGCCAGTTCTTCTGGTTCAGGATATATAAGACTGCCCTCGAACCCGACTAATCCGCCAAAATGGATTCTCCCACTAGGTATGCAAGATTGACTCCTAACTATCCGGCATGCAAATGCTAACATATTTCACCAGGGAACCCCCATCTCAACCTACACATACATCAATCGGAGATTATAGGATGGTCAACTTTGAGGCAGAAAAACAATACAATGAATCGAATATTGTCGGACTTGAGCTTGGGTGATGTTGAACAAAGATGTGTTGTATTAATTCACGGTCCATTCGGGTGTGAGCTATATGTAAGGCATCAATGTATTTTATACTATCATGAGCCCCAATTCTATCTGCGCATACATAATGACCAATAAATATTTTTCTATAAGAGCTATCTCCTATAATCAAGACTTGACTGAGTGCGTAAACAGTTTCTCCTTGTCATGACTTAGCTCAAGACGACATTTCGACTTAAGACTACCCTGCAGCTGAGAAACTTAACAGTGAAATTCAAGCACAAGGAGAAGGATGAATGCAGAACATATTTATAATCCCAAACCCAATAAAACGTGTATTGTATGCAAATGTGTACCGAATATGTATAGGGGTATCTAAACTAGCCATTCTTAATTTACCATGTCCATAACCAATTATGTTTCCTTAAACCATCCCACCAACCGTGACTTAACTATTATTATAGAACTCCATTTCAGCGATATCTAGAAGTCGATGTCCGAGCTAGATTCTCAGCTTCAGACATCTCAAGCAGACTAACAGCCTCATCTGCATCATCCTCATCGTCAGACTGCTCCTCAGCATTCGGATCTTCGTCAGTCTGCTCCAACGGGCGACGCTTCTTCTCAAAGTCCTGCTTGTGCGCTTCGGCAAGCATACGTGAGAGCGTGCGCTTTGGAGGAGGTGGTGCGTTAGTTCCGGCCCGGCGGCGAGATGTGCCTTCTTCCGCTTGTCCAAGCGATACACCGGTGGATTCGGCTGTGGCTTGACGAGTGGGTTCCTCGAAGGAGACGGCGCCTGTAGTACCCTCGTTCTCCTGAGCGGCGGCAGATCCGTCGGTACTAGCGCGGGCCATGAGCGGCTCCATGTTGTAGGGGAGAGGGACGTCGCGAGAAGCTTTGTATTGGGATACATTACTGCAGTGCTCATTCTCAACACGGAATAGAGTCCACATGCCACGACGGGTGACTTCCATAAAGGCCACCATGAAAGAGACGATGGTAGAATGCTGAGTGTTGTGGGTGAAGATGGCGTAGAAGATCCAGGCGAATCGCAGGATGGGGTCGATGATCATGATGAAGTAGTACATCCATCGGCGCTTGAGGGCGAGAATCTCTCGAAGACCCTTGTGTTTGGAACCAGGTTGAAGAAGTGAGAAATCCATGAAGAGATCCCAGAATGCTGGTCTTTGTTAGTGTAGCTCTTTTGAAAGGGTTGCCAAACTTACAGCAGTAAACACTGTTGATGGTCGAAAAGGTAATGAAAAGTGCCAGGTGAGTCGTAGTATCATGTATACGGTACAAAGAGAGCATCACGGCAGCTAGGATGGTCATTGTATACTTGCCGCCGTTGACCAAGTGTGGAAAAACATTCCGGGTATCCTTATATCGGCGAAGACATTGTAAAAATCGCCAGATTGGTGGCAGAGCCGTCAGGAATCCCAGAGCACGAGAGTGACTGGAGTTGCACTGAACGGGATTCTGCCAGTTGTTGGCGTATAAACAGAAGAAGAGTTCAATGTTCTGATACCGTTAGTCCCATTCCAAATAGGCGTTCGTTTGAACTTACCGCAGTAGAATATGTAAGTGAACAATAAATATCTCCAAGAAAGAAATCACGAAACTCGACCGGGTAAAGACCAGCCAACAGCAATCGCCACTAGAAGATGTTAGCTTTGTTACAAGAAGCTGGTAACAAACTTACATGAGAGTATGCAAACCAGCGCCGACTTCTATGCAATATCGTAGGTGCCGGAAAGAATAGAATAACAACAGTGAAGAATATAAGAATAACCGGGTAGTAAATGTACATGTCGGGGTCGCCATATCTACTAAAGTTGACCCACATGAACAAGCCTAACACAAGAAAGAAGAAACTGGGAAACTGAGCCAGCTCTCTCCAGTCTAGATGATGTCGTTGATCGAACTCGAAGATGAAGGGGTAGTTGACCTTGTTCTGGTTCCAGAGCATGCAGTCGATACAGAAGAGTGAGAACAGATAAAGCATGAGGAAATAACCTCCGTAAATCTGCATGAGATAGCTCGTCCGGAGACGCAGTTGGTCATCATCATCGTATAGAAGCTGTGCTCCGTAAATGAGACCTTGAATGGCAAAGACTGCGCCAGTTCCGATGAGCAAACCATTCTGGAACATGCCGATTGACTGATCTTCAGGCTTCTTGTTCAAGCTGCGGAGCTTGCCTGCAGCCAGTTTGTGGTTGCCACGCTCAAAATAACGAGCGTACAGGTCTTCAACTGTTCGAATGTGTCCCTCAAGAACATCACTGTTGACGAACCACGATTGGTTGACCTTCTCGTTAAGATAACGGTACGGAGGTCGAGCATTAACGGCCTTGTCGTATTTCTTGTTGAGTTTTCGGAAAGCAGTGCGGTTAAGCAAAGCATATGACTTGAGCAGTTCAAGTCCACGGTAAAACTCTTGAAGGGCGAGTTTCAGTTTTCTCTTAGCTGTACGGTACGGGACTTCGTGGTGACTCGGACGACGGATATAGTCTCTCTCTGCATCCTGCATGACACCATTTGCATTGGGGGTGAGGCTCATCTTTTGCAGCGCCCTGGTGTTGGGCCCAACAGGAAAGATCTTGGCCTTGATAGGGTCCATAAGTCCGTTAAGCTTGCCATTGCCGTTCTCGCTAGGACCTTTGCCGTTCTTTGGTGGATTCGCCTCGCGGACACGTTCGTCGGCCATCTCCTGGATTCGTCGGTTCCGCATCTCGTGGAGTTGTACTCTCAGAATGTCCAGCCTCTGGCCAGCTTGCTCTTCCTTCATCTTGTAAAAGCCCTCGACCTTTTCCAGCTCTGTGTCGAGGAAATCAAAGAACTCTTTCTCCTTTTCTCGTACTAGATCAAAATTCTGCATGTCGAAGTCGCCTCTTCCTCCGCTTCTTGTCGATTGATGGGTGAATAGTCGTCGGAGGTGAGAGGGTGAGTCTTTGGCGGTTGCCCCGGTAGGGGTTCGGTGGCTGATCATTTCGGGCGATGCAACTGTCGTTACGATACTAGCTGATGATGTTCGTCGCGGATCGATTCGCTTCAAGCTCCGTCGCATAAGCTCAGATGGCCCGGTAGTAGCAGGCGATCCTGGGAGGTGATGATCATGAACATCGTCGTGGTCGTCAACTTTCATTGCGGGCGCAGGCAATTGAAAGTCGCGAGCTTTGGGCGCGCTATCATCCAAAGGCGATGGCTCTGGGGGCGTTTCGACGAAGCTTCCATAGTGGCGGTTATCGCTAGAATTTTTGAGTGACTCATCTTCGCGACCTGCGGTTTTGGGGGTGGGAATTGATCGCGGTGGTGCAACTGCCGATGGAGATCCTATCGTCGTCGTCGCGGTGCCTTGTCTCGTAAAGGGTGTTCGTGGTGTCGCGGGTGATTGGAATGTGTTTGTCCGTATCGGCCCAATTCCTCTTGGGGTTCCATTCGCGCGCGCAAGAGCTCTTCCAACGGCTTTGATGTGTTTCTTTCCAACCTTGTAATTGAGATACTTGATGCGCCATTCTGCACGTACAAAGTTAATTTTTGCAGCACTATTGACCGTTATTTGGAGATGAACTTACCAGGCACAGCTTCTCTCTCAAGCTCCTTGGCGAACTTCATGATAGCGGTTGATCGCTAACAGTAACACCCTGGACGAAAGTGATACCAGAAACGTCCAGCATTAGAACCGCAATGAAACGAAACGAGTGCAACCTGAGGTGAAGGTAGATCGTCCAGATCAGGAGGTTGTACTGTCAGAAAATTAAACTCGTGGTCGAAAACAGAACGTGCCCCCTCCTTCAGAAGATCGCGAATATTGTTTTGGCCAGTCAGAAATCGATAAAAAGGAGAGTTGAAGCACGTTTGACGTCAGTGCACGAGGAACAATTCACATGAGAATAAATTGAAGCCACTAGACACGGGGAATCATCCGCTAATACCGATAGGCAAGTCTAGCAGGGTTCAAGTGCCAGGTTGATTACCCTAGACTTTTGAAACTGAGATTGATGATTCGAATAGATGAGGATATCCATATACAATGAGGCTGATACATGGATAATCAATTTAATATTCTGACCGCCATTCATTAATTATTCGGGAACTCTGCTAAACCCTTCATTTATCGGCCCCTTTATAACAACGCTCGGAACCCGCAGGGCCAGTTTACAAGGAGTATCCCGCCAGGAAGACACGGCTAGAGCCCCCAACTCAATTGACAAATAAGGTGATTTACAGCGCCCAACATTGTTGAACAATGGATAATCCATAGGAAAGGAATCTTAGATAAGATGAACATAAGGTTGAAAAGAGCTGCAGCACCGTTGATATCTGGCTTGCATGTTCAACGTGTGTACCCAAACCTTATCTAATCGTTAAACTTACTATTACGCTTGTTACCTCTGACCTGGCTGTGTATAGTATCATGTAACATAACAACATATCTGACTGTACGCAGAGCACAATGGTACAACTGCTTCTATTACTGTACTCTCGTCGCTTGCCTTTCTCATTGTAGGATTGGTACTCTGTGCGGGCTGTCTGTAATTGTGTTCCTGGCCATCGCCCCCAATCATGTAAGTGAAGGAGTAGTCTTACCTTACCCTATTGTCAGAAGCGAAAGTGTATGCGTTGCACAGTTACTCCCTGGAACTATGATAGCGTGTTTTCGGATGTCCGAATCCGCAGTGTCAATGGATTTCTAGCACTTTGTCCTATCAAGGTCTAAGCAATCGGTTTGGAGATGTTCCCATCAAGCGCTGTCGCAACATATTGCCAAGTAAAGCCGATGCTGGAACAAGCCGATTGCTAGAAACGTGATCACATGTTTTTGAGAGATAGCCTGTGCCAAAACTTTGTTCTCATTACTTTAACACCGTCTGTGAGATGGAAGGTCCAGTGTAGAAGAGGAAATCTAGATTAGCCTTCGGTGAACAGCGAAGACGAGATCAACCACCTTTCATCGAGTCTTTTCGTGGAGAACAACCAACCCATACAAAGAGTCAAACTTTGCTACTGAAAAAAGCCCGCAATACTTCATTCCAAGAAATATTTCCCTCATCAAACCGAGAGTTGAGGGGTTTATTGATACCTTTAAGAAATACTAATCATCTCGACTTACACGGACACTATCGCCAAGGACCAGTCTAGTGTTTAGAGGGAGCTAGGGAGACCAAAACTTTGCAAGAAGTAAGAACCACTTAGGCGCGATGGACCGATCCAGATCACCCCCAATAGGCGATGCAATGACTTCATTATTACCACGTGTGTTTTGGCTTGTCCAAGACAGTTCCTGGAGACGGTTAGACCTGGACCTGGACCTGGACCTGGGCCCCAAGCCAACGGTTCGACGCTATGATAGCGTGAAAGAATCCTTTGTCATGACAAACAAATACCGTAGTGTATACTGTAGTATGATAATAGGTAAATCTGGTGGTTGAGTTGTCCGAAACCGAAACTACATCATGATGATACTGTTCTTGTCCTGTAAGAGTATCATTGTTTTGATCTGCATGCATACATATGATTCACCCGAAAACATGAAACTGGACACCCGTTGCCGATACCCGAGTCAATTGTGTATAAAGTAAACAAACTTTAGAGTATCATGATACGTCGCCAAGTCCACATGCGATGTCATCACAACAAGAACAACAGCGAATGAGAAGCAGAAACAGAGACCGGAATCAGCTGCCTGTTGCGAGAAACAACTCTTGTTCCCCGCAACTTGTTCAACCACACGCGTTTCAAGAAAAGCAGGCATACAGTATTCGGTGAAGGATCATGCATCAATAGACGAATTGAAGTCCTCTCTTGGCGTCGATTATTGCTCACGTGCAGGATGAAATGCAATGCCATGTAATGTAATGTCATGTCATGTACTGTAGATTGAGTACCTTGAAGATCATCAATACATAGTGTATCATGCACGTACCAAGAATTGACATGTGTGAGTTGTGAGCTTCAAAACGGAAGAGCATCCGCGGTGTGACAGTGTGTCACTGCAGCCAAGAGACTGGCGATCTTGATTCCAAGCTCTAGGGCCTGTTCGTAGCTGTATGGGCTTTCTAGGACCACTCAGCGAACAACACACGGCTATTCGATACTGGTTACCCTTTTGAGCTGAACCCTTGTGTGGCTTTCCTTGTCCTGTTCCTTGTTCCTGGATGTTGTCCGGCTCTACGGATAGACGGAGTAGCCTGTGCCCTGTCTAGTCACTAGATAGACTTATTCGATTAAGCTCACTCATCTCGATTAACATTGCCAACTCACAATCAAGCATTGCATTGCATTGAGTTTCAACTTGCTGTAACAGATCAAAACTGGTTTGTGGCGTTTGGGATTACCACTGTAAATCCTGCTTGCTTCCCAGACTCCAGTTTGTGATGGAGTGGGATTGGATTTCTGAAGTTTCTCACTGACACATTCTACATTCAGTAAGTTTCCCATCGCAGGATCCCTTTGGCGTATAACAGAGCCGCTATATAACATGTCAAAGTTGGCATATACCCGGTCAATATAGAAACGTTATAGGTCCTCTTACCCACCATCCCGATCGGAACGTTCCTTAAAGGGCTGAGACTGACCGATGGTTTATATGGATATATGACGCTGCACCTTACAAATCGTTTGAGTGAGTGACATACAGCCTGGTCCAGATAATCAATGCAACAATTGATATGAAGTCACAATCGTTCACTCTCTCTTCAATTGATTTGCGACAGGGACCAGGAACTTTCCAGGGCGGAGAAAATCTCCCGTGCATGTTACAGCAACCCACAGGTTTCATAGCATAACCAACAGGCTCGAGATCGAGATCGCAGCCATAGTCAATGGGTCTTTACTTTCCCTAGCCTGTCAACTTGCTCTTCGCTTAATAGTGTTTCATCCGGCGGAATTGGACCCTTGGCGGAAGCTTCGGAGAACGGCCTGTGCGCCAAGATTCTAATTCCTACAGATACAGTTACCTGTTCGGTAATACTGGAAGAATCTGTGGGCCAGAAGATAGCAAAGCAAGGAAGCTATCGCGGATATTCAGGCACGTAAAAGCAGGTGAGAGCTTCAAGCTTGAAGCTATCGGGACCAATAAGATCAACCCTAGCCGTCCATCCATTACAGCTTTGAGCTCAAGCGTTGGTCTTTAGCTTGAGGCTTTTCAAGTTTTTCTTTCTTTTTTCTTCTCCTTTCTGTTGGGCTCAGACTTGATGTAGCAGCGGCACGGGCATTTAGAACGCTCCAGACCAGACAACGATAAGTCTATACCGCCTCATGAAATGGATATGGACCAGGGAAGTGCGACAGAGAAATTTTCTCTTTTCCTTCTTTCGCCACTTTAGTGTCCTTGCAGATAATAATAATCCTCCCAAGATGTTGCAGAAAAAGTTGAATAGACGATCTGCATATAAGTGCATTGTGGCGGAACATGACAAACAAAACAAGGCCCTATAAGCGATAGCCTTGTCATGCCAAGAAGTCAAGACTGGAAGAAAAGGGAAACTTGCATTGCATCTGCAGTTCCGAGTTTCCCTTGCTCTGCTACCTTGCCATGCTCATGTTCTTGGCGATCCGGAAACACACGGACGACGTTTGTGGGGATTCTGTCTTGTTCGTCTAGAGTTTGTTGAACTGAAATTATTAGTGGTTTTGTTCCTGGAGACAAGACTCGACTCGACTCGGCCAAGACGATGCCAGCAAGCTTTCTCTGTGGTGTTGAGTTCCATCACTGATGGGGGTAATAGTGGCACACCACACGGTCATGGCCGAAGCTACTGTATGGCACCCCACGTGGAGACTGCGCGCTTACAAGCGAACGGAAGCGAGAGTTTGGCGGATGCTGAGCGAAAACTCAATTCACTGACTGAATTGACCAGAGAGACTAGAGGCTTCTGGTTGTTGGTGGCTTCGGAGCATTTATCGATGACAACTTGAGGTGTTCCCTAGGGACAAGGATGAGGGATAATAGGATATGCAGCTAGATGGTCAATCATCAATCTGGGGGCTGACGCTTACATGACGAGGATTGAATCAAGACATTTCTTTCATAGTCGCTGTGTGCTGGATCATCAGCAGTTGTAACAGCGCTGAGAGAGTAAAGAGAGTATTCCTTGGACAGTAGTGTAAGAGAGTATGGACGATTATCCGATCCGTTACCCGATATATCGACTGGTGGCTGCATGGACAACTTGACAACAAAACATGGGCTTCTCTAACTTCTGACTAGACAAAATGATCTGATGAATCAGACGTCAAGAATCACTTCACTTTGTTTTCTGTCAGATGAAGCCATTGACAGTCATCCTTGGGGTAACACACACCGGGAAATGACCCCGCTATCATCCTTGTATCGTGCACTTGCACTTGCAAGCTGCCCGGGCAGTTTTCCCCAGTCCCCGGAGTCGGACGGAGCTGAGAGTGAATGTACTGTGAGAGGCTACAGTACTAGTACTAGCAAAGTGGGCTGAAGCCAGAGCATTTCATTCCTCGAGGATCATGAAATGAGGCTTGCAGAAGGTAAAAAGACGTGTTCCAGTCAGAACTGCAGCAAGCCCGCAGAAAACCGGTGAGAGGAGGAGATAGTTTGGGTCTTGGAAAAAGCGAAGATTGTCAGTCAGCTCTCTCGCCCC